ATGGTATTGAAGGTGGGAGAGAGCGCTGTACATTCACTCCCCCCACCTACAATCCCTGCCGGTCCGAGACTCGAACCCGCAACCTTGGGTTACGAGTCCGACTCTCTAACCATTAGGCCACGACTTCCCAATAATTATATTGTTATATTATAAGCTTATTTAATAATTGAATTTTATTCAAATGTGTTATATGTTCATATGTGTTATAGACTACAAATAAAGTTTTTCTTCAAATGTGACATGAATGTGTTTTCTTGGATTGAACTATATAAAGCAAAATGTACTTTTCTCTGTGTTTTTTTCTTAAATATATTTATGTTTGTAAAATATATATAAAAAAAAACACAAAAATGGCCAAAAATATATTGGTAGAACATATATTTATGTAAATATATTTTAAAGCATATTTTAGCAAATACATTTTTTGGACATTTTTGTATATTTTGAAATATATTTAAAGATTTATTTTAATATTTTATAAGATTTTTATATTTTAAACTTTAAAATATATTATAGAGGGATAATGGGTTTTGAGGCTATGTTGTTGCAGGACCCATTGTCATAATATAATATAATATAATAAATATAATTTATACAAATAATTTTAAATAATTTGCTTCTTACTCTAGAAGTAACTAAACAGTCAGTCTATAATCAATAAGAATTAATAACCAATCCTCACTTGAGGGTTCCATCAGGGTAGTCGGGAATGACGGTGGAGGTGTGACCCAGAACGTAGCCGGGGATCCAGCCCTCGGCTGCTGGGCCTTGTTCTGTGGCGGCACGGAAAACTAGAAACATGTTTTGCTGGTTAGAGGCCAATATCTGTACAACCTCTCCTTGATACACGCTGATCTCATCTTCTTTTAGAGCCACGTAGTCCTGGGTCACCAACATGGTTGACACACTGCTGCTGCTGCTGCTTTCACTCTAGAAGCAGAAACACAGCAAAACATCAGAGTAGCAACTTTTATATTATTTATATTATTTTTAATTTGATTAAGAATGTTTGCATACGAAGAATGTTGAAGACATTTAGTCAGCTGGTCAGAGAGCAAGAATAAAGCATGCGAGAGCAGTTCTAGGAAAAGATTTACATTAGAAAGTTGTTTTAGCTTACAAGATCCTCTTCCGAGTTACACTAAACAGTCGTTCACACTGACAGTTCCCAGTTAAATTGCTGATGGTTGTCCGGACACTGTACTGTTGGTTAAGTATATCATGAGGTGGATGAGCTCAAATGTCTATGTTCCCACTGACAGTCACCACAGCATGCTGAACTTTGTCACATCATCAACAGTCTCTATTGCTCTTGTTGCTTCTAATCGCTTACTCTCATTAAAAATAAATGACTTCTGGCCTCTGTTGCTGCAAATTGCTTTCAGTGTGATTACCCCTTAAGACTGTTGGTTAAAAGAGGAAATCTAACACCCCATGAAATCAACATTGGAGTTTTGTGGTCTTTTAACTTCTTCAAAACCATCTATATGCTAGTGCAGTGAATCTCAACCTTTTGGCGTACCGGACCCCAGTCCAATTCAGAACCATCCTCAAGGACCCCCAGAACAAAATTGACTCGTATCATTGTGTCTTTGTGAGGACCAAATGCAGTCAAGTATAATTCAAGTTAGCTGGTATTTGGCCAATTTGGCCATATCATCAGCTATATTGGATTTTTCTTTCATGGGAACATGTCATGTCAAAATTTATACAAAGAACATGTCATGTCAAAATATACAAAATTTATACAAAAATTTATACGTTATACGGACCCCCTGGCCTTATGTCAAGGACCACTAGGGGTCCACGGACCCCTGGTTGAGAAACACTGTGCTAGTGGACTGCTGAAAGTTGACAATGTACAATCTTTCTCTTCCAGGAAACAGACACAATATACTGATGCACTCATGTGTGTACCCAAGTGTTTCGTCCAATAAAATGCTCTCTAGAATGAGAATATACTTTCCCCTAATACTCCTATGCTTCAGACTTTCTTCTGATGCAAATAAAGCCTATTTGCTATGTTAAAAAAAGGAAAAGCCCCTTGATATGTCTCACTCCAGCATCCTTTTCAATAGTAAACAAATCAGCACAGGATTTAATGGAGCCTTTAACACCCCACAATATATTTTTAAATGGATTATCCCAAAAATCATTTTTTAAATCTGTAAGCAGGTTAAAAAGAAAAAGAGTTAGTAATTGTTAGTTGGCTGTGGTTTATGTGCTCCCAATGCTTGCATATTAGGTCTTCTCAGGCGGTTAGAGAAAGAACATCCTGCCAGTTCAGAGCAGATAGAATCAGCAGAAATAGTCAACGGATGTACAGAGTTTCTGAGAAACTCTCAAGGAGTTATCCTGGTTAACGGTGTACATTGTTAGTTGCTCAGCAGCACAGTCAAACCAGGCCAGTTAATATCCACAAAAGCATGTGAGAATCCTCTTTTAGTTCCAGGTCAACGCACATATACCCCAGCGGGTTAGTATGAAGCCGGAGGTGGAGGTGAAGCAGGACTAGGCCTCACTGAAGCCAGGAGCTAGAGTTGGGCTCTTACCCCATTGCTGTGAGTGGAATGCAGGGACTGCTCACTGGTGGAGGAGCAAGTACTGATGTGGTCCAACTCCTTACTGTGGGTGGAGTGCCTGCGAGTCTGACACTGGTTGCGACTCAACGGGTCACTCTGCTCTGTGTAAGAGCCAGGCCTGCCAGTAGGCGAGACTGGCATTGAGGCCCAAAACGGGGAGCCCTTCTGGACTGCAAAGTTCTGAGGGTTCAAGGGGGAGAGAATGGGCGAGGGGACTCTGAGACGGGGCTTTGTTAGGGACAGGGGTGCGACTGTGGCTCTTGGAATGGGTGTCCCTGATTGGGCTTCCTCACGTAGCTCCTTCAAGGGGCTCTCCAGGACCCGCATCCTAGGGACCTCACCGTTTAGGTCCTGGTCAGGAAGAGGACACGTACCTGAAGTGTGGTCATCTGGGGCGGGGGCGTGGTGGTGCTGCACAGGCTGGGGGAGACGAGAAGAAGGTTGAGGGATTCGGGAAGCTCGGGACCGAGAGCCACAGCTGGGAACCATGGCAGAGCTGCTGCTACCCCCCGGAAGTCCACTGCTGCTGGGTCCACCCAGACCGCTTGCCCCAACATGATTCCGTTGGTATTCAATGGGTGAAGTCAGTGCTGAGAAGACAACAAGAGGCAAGTGATGTTATATAATATAACCCAGTCATAAAATAAAATAAATTTTTTAGGTGTATGCATTATTATAAAGTGAAAGAGTAAAGCTATGAACAACATATTTAGAAAAATATGTTTTAAGAGTCACTGGAATGCCTGAATGACTAGATGGTCTTAAAAGCTGTGTTGCCAAGTCTGTGGTTTACTTTAACACTGTTGCCGTGGGTGGTTTTTCATGTCCGCAGGTTGAAGCGACCCCAATAACATGATATTTAGCCCCTGTAATGCGAATTTTAACAGGGGAAACCCCACCAAAAAAATTGGCATTTTACCCCCCAGGACACTTTTTACCTGGGGACCCTCCTCGAAACGCAGTTGGGCTAGTTTTGAGTAGCAATTGGGCGGGTTTTGTTGTGAAAACCTGGCAACCCTGCTTACAAGTGAATTTTCAAGAATATGTTTAAATGTTTGGTCCCACTTTATATTAAGTGGCCCTGATACCTGTGTACTTACATAGTAACTAGATGTGTACGTAGTATGTAACCACAGTGTAAGTACACATTGGTACATATTATCTACAGCTCTAATATTTGTGTAACTACCCATATGTAACAACCCACTGAATGGTATGTGTAAGTACAAATGTGTAACAGGACATTGGTAACAACACTTTTTGGTAATGAAAGTACAAATGTGTAACAGGACTAACAGCACTTTTTGGTAAAGAAAGTGTTACACTTTATATTAGATTTATCATGTAATTACTCTGATGTTACACAGCAGAGGCCAGTAAGTTAGGCTTTACATATAAATTGTGGTTGGTGTCCAGAATGTTACACTTTATATTAAGTGGACAGTTCCTGAGGAGTTACCATGTAAGTACACTGGTATTACAGTGGTGCACCAACTCCAACTCGAGATCCAACTCCTCCCACTTTATATATCCCTAAACCTACCCATCTCCACCCCCTCTGTAAGTACTTAGTGAAGTGAAAAAAAGTGTTGTTACCAATGTCCTGTTACTTATACATATTGTTGTTACAATGTGTAGTTATATATGCCCTGTTACACATTTGTACTTACACAAACCATTCGGAGGATTGTTACATGTGTGTAGTTACAGAAATAGTACAGCTCTAGATACTATGTACCAATGTGTACTTGCACTGTGGTTACATACTACGTACACATCTAGTTACTATGCAAGTACACAGGTATTAGGGACACTTAATATAAAGTGGGACCGTTGGAAAACTAGTTGACCTTAGCTGCCCTATTCCTGCAGTATTATCTTCAAATCCCAATCCATAACTATTATCTTACAATTAATTAGTCATTTAGCATTTTATTGAAATCAGGGGTGTCCTATCCTCCTCCACGGGGGCCACTATTCTGCTATTTAGCTCCAATCTTTATTAAACACATTTAAACCAGCTAATTAATGTCTTTAGTATTACAAGAAACGTCCAGGCAAGTGTGTTTGGACAGGTTGGAGCTAAACCTTTGGTCCACTAAAAGCAGGATTGGACACTCCTGATGTAATGCAACATATAGTCAGTGTTGGGGAGTAACTAGTTACATGTAACGGCGTTACTTCATTAGAAATTTAGAAAAGTAATCAAAAAGTAATCAAAAGTAATCAGTTACATTACCTTAATAAAGTAATTGAAAAAGTTACACTACTATTACATTTTAAATAGGGTAACTTGTAATCTGTAACCTATTACATTTCTAAAGTAACCTTCTCAACACTGCATATAGTACACATATTATGTGGACAATCCCACTGGAGTTTAAGCCAATTACTTGGTGGTCGTTCATAGTTTGTGGGGCTTTACACCTATTACATTTTGGTTTACAGATATTTAACCACTAACCTCCCATTTTGTAACTTATTTTAAGAAATCCTATAATTGTGTTACCATTGAGGAAGTTTCTCTGGTTCTCCAGGATGCTGCTGATCTGCTGGATCCATACTAGGCAAACTGCCCGGTTGGAGGAATGGAGGACATAGTGCTCTGTACTGCCAGCGGATGACCTCGAGGTCAAAATAAACTTACAAGGGTCATTGTCAGGACTCTCTTCTAGACCCAACCAACTGACCTGCAGAGCAGAGATAGAGACAATAGATAAATGTTTTTACTTGCTATACTGTGTCTTGAGCACAGTGTTTTCTACAGCAGTGGTTCTGTCTTCATACCTTTACGCTGTTCTTAAACAGATAGCCCGGCATAGAGAATCCCTTCTTTTTATCCAGAGGTTCGCTGAAGATAACTATCTGCTCGAAGAGAAAGACACGCCTCTCTTTCATGCGGGAAAGGAGACCACCATCCTGGTCGGAGACCATGAAGGTGTCCTGTAGAAGCAGTCTTCCCTGGGCTACAATTTTACCCTAAGAGCAGAAATAACAAAATAAACAGTGCTTAGTCCTCAGAACAGTTCAAATTCCCTTGCATGTGCAAACAAAACTGCACTAAAAAAAGAACATTCGAAACAAGTACAGGCTAGTTTGAAATATTGTACAGTGATGTTCCCACATTTTTTAACTGGAGGCAAGGTCAATGTTTTATTTGCTCGGATTGTGAATAATTTTGTTAGACATCTAAACTCTTTCCACAAAATGACAAAAATTCACTGTCATATTTGGTTTGATTAGTTTTGATGTGGGAAAAAAAACGTTTGTGAACAGCTTGAGGACTTCCTGCTGATTTCTGTACATACAGTACAACTGTTAATGGCTGTGCTTTTAGCTTTCCACCTACACACTCACAAACTTTTGCAAATAAGGTATGAGAAATGCATCTTACATCAAATCCTTGGAGACGTCCAACATTCATCATGTCATTGCAGCGTTTTGGAACAACACACATCACCTCTACTGCTTTCTGTGAAAGAAAGAAAATGTGACTGGTGCTTGCCTGTGTAAAATTTGCCACCACAATACAAAGGTGTTGTGGGTGGTTACTATGGTGTTGCTACTGTATGTGGTTTACTATAGCCCAAGTCAAAGATTCCCACCTTAATTTCTCTGATATTCTGGGCTGTAGATATGAATCTGGTTACAGTTGTAATATTATTTATGTTTTATCATCTCCTAGTCATAAACTGAGGCATAAATTGATTTAAAGTCTGATTACTGATTGTTTAGAAATGTCAGATAACAACATTTTTCCTTAACAAGCTGCATGATTTGAGGTACAGTATCATTTATATTAGTAGCATAAATGGTGCTGGATGAGTTATGTGTCAAAGTTAAATACTAGCCCATGTCTAAACAATTACCCTTACCTCTAATTCTACAGTGTCCAAACCAGCCTTTTTGGAGAACTTGAAAAAATCCTAAAATAAAGCAACCAGAACAATGACGAGAAACATTCATTTATGTTGAAAGATAATGATCTTTTCTCAACATCTTTTCTTTACATAAAGATGGGTGAGTAGTACTGGAAGGAACAACTACATTGCTACTGCAATTTCACTGCCTGACCTTCAGAAGAAGCTGGTATTTCATGATCCGCTGCACTGGTTTAATCAGTAGATCTGTGATCTGTAGCCTGTGGCCCAACCTCTGTTTTAAATCCTGATGAAGATATAAAGAAAAGATGAGATAATGTGGTTATGAGTCTGTCTTACTTTTTATGACTCATGTTTAAATGTCAGGGAGGATGTAGGCAGTGACTTGAGTCTTACCTCAAAATACGTGTCGATGTACTCTGAAACAATGTGCTCTGATTTGGGCTTGTTTTGGCAGTAGACAATGTACATGTGCAGTCTTCGTTCCTTTAGCCAAAACAGAATTTCAGACAAAGAAGGTCAAAACTTACTCATCGAGTAAGATTTGAAAAAAACGTATAGATCCTGTCCTTCATGCTGATTGTTCTATGCTGCTTTCCAGTTATGCTAAAATAGATAATGTACTAACAGCTATGATTCAGTTATTGCATATTCAACACATACTGACCACTTTCTTTTACTACACATATGGCATGGCAGGAAAAGTTCACCCAAAAATGAAAATTCTGACATAATTTTTTTACCCTCATGACATTCTAAACATGCATGCCTGTTTTTATTCTGTTGAATGCAAAAGAAAGTATTTTGAAAAAAGTGTTGCCTATACAATAAAAGTGGGGTCCAAAACAACACTGACTTTTACTGTATGGACAGAAAAGTCAAATATATTTGTATAGTGCTTTACACATTACACAATGTTCCAAAGAGGCTTTACAGAAAAATCATGGTGTTAATGTTTAGAATATCTTAATATCTTTATTATCAGATTAGAGCTGGGTGATAATATAGTTTACAAATTGATACAAGCAATCTGGCAGTTGAGCTATGCTATATAGTAACTACATATCGCCCTACGTGAGTAGTACTGTATATACTGTATATATGTGGATAAAATAAACATTCTTATATATCCAACTTTACTGTATGTAAAAAGATGTGAGAGAATATAGTTAATTTTGCAGCCAAATTTTGCTATATAGTATATATTGCTTCAAGTGAGTATAATGTAGATATGCAGGCAGAGCTGGGTAGTAACTGATTACATGTAATCGGATTCCAAAAATGAAGTACTTGTAATTAGATTATATTATGTTTAAAAATCAGATTACAGATATTTGTATGGATTACATTATTAAATATTATTCACACAATAGCAGTAAATGATTCAGAATTTATTTACACCAATTTAATTTGATTTCATTTCTATCTACCACTTACAGCTTGGAAAACCCCACTGTAATGTAATGTGTAATGCATTTCATGATTTCATTTTTTTTTAATCAACATGGTACACAATTAATTATCCAAGTACAATTTTAATAATATAATTTGTAATCAGTAATGGACTACAAATCCTAAGTAATCTACCCAGCACTGTAAAGGTAGGATGTACCATATATCCAACTCTAAATATATTGTTGGGTTATATATAATATAGTTCACATAAAATCAAAACAAAATAAAACAACAACGACACATATTTCAAAACATCTGTCATTGTTTCAAAACACTGAGACTGAGATTGTTCAAAATCTTATTTTGTGAACGTTTTTTCTTTTAGCTTTTATGGCTTTAAGGTGAAGTGTGCCATTTTTGGGGGGTGTAAAAATAGTCACATCTCAGCTAAACGTACAGAAGAAGTTGATTCACCCTGAAAATGTAGACACTGTAGCTTTATGGTGTTAACAAAACATTGCTCTATTTGTTTGAACATCCCAACCAGACTGACATGATCTAAGTTTGAGGCGGGAATATCCATTTAATTTAATGATATTTGTCGAAACCACACAATGAATCATTTCATACCTGTCTTATAAACAGGGGTGCGAGCCTATCTGGGTCTTCCAAGCACTTCTCTAGCTCACCAAGAAAGAAGCTGCAAAGATGAGAGGTGCAACATTAATGACAGGAAATGAAAGTAGGGGGTCTTGGTGGTATTTACGAGAATGAGAATCTTAAGTGTGTCATTTTCACATACTCTTTATGCCACTCATAAATCTGGTGAATGTTCCCAAAGACGATTTTATCTTTGCCCTTCATGTCGTCGGGTACACCCTCCTCCCTCATCCTGTTCATGTAGCCCTGCAGGTGCCAGAACACATCAGTATGGTTACCACTGGAGACAGCAACACATAAAACATGTGATCTTCCTCGACGACCATTCTGAATAACACAACACAACAATCGTGTAACTCCTCAATAGATGGATAGACTACTGATCAAACAAAACTAAACCCTGACAGCAGCTGCCAATTATGATTACTCGAATGAATGTGTTCAGTTGCATGCGGTCACCATAGTGATCTCACTGCGGTATTCGTTAAAAGAACTGAATATAAGCCCACCTCCACGACTGCACCAAGGTCTCTCACATAGTCTCTCTCGGTCTCCACCAGTTCCAGCAGTACATAGCTGAAAATGAAAGAGAAAAACACATTCACATACAAATCAAAGAACAATTCAAGATGGCAGGCAGAGTCAAAAGAAACATATTTCCTTTAGTATAAAAATATACAGTATCTGTAAAAATATTTCTAATTAAGATGTACCCAATATTTGAGTGTGCTACACATTTTTTATGGTTATTATAGTACTCTATAGGAATCAATGCTGTCTATGTGCCTTTTCACATGACTCACATCAGTGTTCCTCAATGTATTGATCTCTACAGAATGAACATTGAAGCTAACTGAACTGAATTATAAAGCTTTATAAATGAGAAGCTCAAAGTTCAAACTATTTCAGCTTCGTCTTAGTTTGCTTCTGACGTTTTAAAGCAAACATAGTAATTATGAGACAATTTGCATGTCATATCATAATGTATAAACAATATGCTACATGATCATGTACCTGTTTTGAACCATTTAAATTAAACAAGAGCATTCCAAGACAGTAAGGAGTCATGAACATTTTTTTACTATCTGCAATGTATCAAATAGTCAGTATGACTCGTTCTAAACTTCCCTCTTTTGCCATTTACGTATCATTCCAGCCAGCTACCTAAAAACCTCTGTGATACCTCTCTGAACCTCTGCGACCTGCAACACTTTTTGTGTGTAGAGTTCAAAACATTGACACTTGTGTTGAGAGATGCACACACAAGATTTAATTTTGGTGAGGCCTTACAACTACTAGGATTTTTAGAGAGCTAATATACAAATACTTATAAATAAGAGAGAAACACACTGTCGTCTCTTGAGGATCCCAGTCTTGCGTTCATCCATCTCGTCGATGGGAGAGGAGGAAGACAGGAGGGAGTTATCCGATGGGTTGCAGGAAGGACTACTGCTATCTCCTCGCTCAACAGGGAGAGAACTAGGCCTGTCCTCCAGACTCTGAGAAAGACAAAGTGGACAATACAAAAACATTCAATGTGAAATAATGGACTCGTGCTGTGATTTCCTACACCTCTGTGATCTCTTACCATTTTGCTCTTGACGAGTTCCTCAATGGCGCTGACCAGTTCAGCTGCACTTGGTGTCTCTGAGCTGCTGAGACGTCCAGACAGACGGGAGGTAGCCTACACAAAAAAATAAAATACAAAATAACAATGTTTAGAATCTTACTAAAGTAGGACTCTCACAAAAATGAAACGAAATGGAACAAAACAAAACAAAACAAAACAAAAACAAACACCCCCCTCCCCCCCAAAAAACAACAATGTTTAGAATCTTACTAAAGTAGGACTCTCACAAAAATGAAACGAAATGGAACAAAACAAAACAAAACAAAACAAAAACAAACACCCCCCTCCCCCCCAAAAAACAACAATGTTTAGAATCTTACTAAAGTAGGACTCTCACAAAAATGAAACGAAATGGAACAAAACAAAACAAAAACACAAAACAAAACCAAATAAAATAAAAAAACAAACAAAACAAAACAAAAACATGTTAAATGCCTTTTTTGGGCATGTATGTCTTTTTTTTCATGAGGACTAGTCCATTAAGACGAGACACTGCAGGTGAATAGGGTAAAAAAAATAACTAATAGTTATGGCCTTACTTACCCAGCTGATTGATTACATTGATAATTGCAAAAATTTTTGCAAACATAAGTTTTTAAAATGTTAGATTTAAATATGCAAATTAGTCATTATTTAATTAAATATGTGCTAATTTGCATACATTTTTATCTAAACACTGAATGATGTCAGTTTCAAAATTCTTGTTTAATTTTTTTGACATATTAGAGTCAAAAGTTTTTACAGAGGGAATTTTGGGTATCTCATTTTTGTCACTCCATAATTCAGAAAATGCTTAGAATGGACAGAAAACACTATATTTTCACAATTTTTGGGGGAATAAACTGTTGCATATAATGCAGCAAATTATATATGAACAAATCCCTCTGTAAAAACCTTCAGGATATAGACAGGAATAAAAATGTAAAGTTTGGTGTGTGTAAGTGCTACTGAAGTGGAGATTTATGGCTCAGTGTAGGAGAAAAAACTCATTTTGAGAAAATGGCCTTTAAAAATATGTATTGTAATTGAAATCTATTGACACAAATAGATAAAGTGCTATAAAAGAAACACTTAACAGTGTTTTTGGATGTTTTCTTTACACTAGTCTGAAAAAACACTTTATGAAAAACCAAAAAGCCCAAAATCTCAAACTTGACAGGTGCACGAAAAAACAGTGTTTTTGCCTGCACTGTCTCCCCTTAAGAGGTGTGACACCTTTTTCGGGTTATGGTTACATAGTTGAATGACTAATCAGTAATTAGTACTGGATCCAGTGTTGAAAAATGAACCACGAAGTCTAAAGACTTCAATATTTATTTATTTTGTGAATCTGCAATGATGCTCACCATTGTGGTGTTCTTACAATGAAGGCGGAAACATTCCAGTCCAAATATGGCAATGGGTGTGGTTTCTGTATTCGTCAGCCAATCAGGGGCTGATTTCGGAGTGGTAAGGGGCATATATAGGGGAATGGAAGTAGGAACTTTGGTTTGGAAGATTTAGGTTGTTTTGGGTGAAGAGTAAGTGCACACGTGGCCCATCGCATGTGATGGTACGCACTCCTGAATACTCCATTAAGGGGCACATGAAAGGTCACGGACAAGGTCAAGGGCTTTCTCAGTCTATAACAGTCAGAAGTTCACATTTTTAGAAATGCTACTGAGCAGGATCAGTTTCTGTGCCTCAATAAACAAGCTCCGATAAAGCATAACTGAGGACATGTGGATTATTCAAATAAATGAATGGACAAGAAGGACAATATACAGTGAGGATGAGGTATGAAAGCTGAAAGAGAGAAGACTACATAGAGAGATAAGGAAACTGAGACAAAACAGAGGCAGAACAGAAATCAACATAATGCTGGAGAACATTAAGAAACAAAGAGAAAACAGACAGCCGTTAGAGAGGCCTATCAGAGGACCTTCGAAACTATCATCATGGGGTCAACATGAAGTCAGCATGAAACAATGTTTACAACAGATTTTATGTCCACAATGTAACATTTTTCTTCATAACACAGTTCCTAAGGAAATGTAAGGTAAGCTTTGACCCGCAAGGTACTGATTGTGGAGGACTGTTTTCTCCCTGAAACAGTGCTTGCATGTGCCTTTGTGGGTCTTTTTGACCAGGACATGGACACTGAAGGTCAAGTTCGCCCTCAAGAGAACATGTGCACAATAAGACCAGGAATATGTTATAACAGCATACAGGGTCTGATTTCATGTTGACTTTAAGAAAACATGTTTATTAATCGGTCTACATCAGCATTTTTAAAGCAGTAATAAAATCTCAAAACAAATCAATAATGATTAAAAAAATCCTTCCACAAAGTTATATTCTGGTGATTGGCATTTACCTTGTCCTCCTGGGAGTCCTGATGCAGAAGACTGTGCTGTTGGATGGCCATAGGGGGCGGCAGGGGAACCGAGTCAGGCCCTTCCTCCCCTTCCTCCTCACCACAGCTCTGCATCCCTGAGGAGGAAGACTTAGACAGAGTGCCACTGCTCAGTCCCTCATTTCTCATCCTCTGTGAGAAACAGAGAGGAAGAAATAAAGAGAGATAAACATTGTTAAGCTATGAAACAGCTCAGCAGCTGTGGAACATTTTTATACCAAAATAGCTCCAGTGGAAGAGCTGCACTGTATTTATAACTGCTCTACACTGGAAACCACAAGACATGAATAACACTTACAAATCATACACTTAAAAACAGACAGAACGCTACATTTACCAAATGCATTTACCAGGAAATGAGTGGCAACTAACTACCATCTATTTACTCGTCTGGGAGCTGTTTTAACCATTTTCACTGTTGCAATAGGGCTCTTTTAGGCACTTTTCATTAATACTGTAAACTTCAGTCCATTACTTTTTTTTTTGCCAAAAATCCAATTTCTTTATTATTTATTTATTTTTTGAGATCTATTAGATGTGTTAGATAATTGTCTAACATAAAATTCATTTAGCAGTTTTAAAGTTTACTTTTTGTTTTCCGTGTCATTTAAAAAAAAAATAATAAATCCCCCCCTTTTACAAAAAATACAAAAAAGTGAAATGTCATTACAATTTAAAATAACTGTTTTCAATTTTATTATTTGTATTTTAAAATATTATAGCAAAGCTAAATTTCCAGCAGCCATTAATCCAGCCTTCAGTGTCACATGATCCTTCAAAAATCATTCTAATATGCTGATCAGGTGCTCAAATAACATTTCTTATTATTATCACAACTGAAAATAGCTGACTCCAAACTATGAATAGTAGCGTATATGCTCAAATACAATTTCATAATACATTAATTGATATACAGAGTTCTGGCATGAAACTCTAGATGGCGCAGTCCGATAGGTCTAACTCAATCTGACCTAATGACATCATTATCACATGTCACAGCTGATTGGTTCTCTCCAGTATCGGTAGCCAATGAGCTCGCTGCTCAACATTCAAATATATGACTAGTGCTTGCCGTAGCAGTTGCAGCTTGCTTCAGAAACCCTCCACCTTCCCTAGCTCTACCTGTATAGATCTGCTACGAGGCGATTCATGTACTCTATACATGGTTATTTCATGTATGTTATATTTGCAGCAGCAATATTTCTTACATGCTCACAGCAGCATGTTGTGGATGTATTGGCAGTAGCAAGTCTCGGTTCTTGCTCTGCCGCAGAGGCAGCATGGCAGATCTATTCCACCAAGACCAAATACATTAACATTGTCATGTACATTACCATGCCATTCCCTCCGAGATTTGTCATCACAGAAATACAATTCACTGCAGACATTTTTTTAACTGACTGCATTAATCATGCTAATAAACCTGAAAAAAATTCTGTGTGTGTTAAATCAAAAAGGGTGTTACTGTGTTGTTTTCTGGTCACCAACCTCCTCTATGGTCTCATCTTGTGGTGTGGCGGCACTGTCATCTGAGTCTTTCTGTGAGCCGGCGTCTGCGTTCTTGCGGACATCTCGACTCTTCTTGTGCTTGTGTGCAAGTTTCTTCACATGGCCGTCTGCTTTACCACTGCTGAGCCGTCTGACAGGGCTGGTCAGCCACTTGCGCAGAGTATTTCCGGGCCGTTTGGGTCCAGGAGAGCTCTGCAAATGACCCGGCTGCAGCGTGGCACTGCCCGAAAGTCCTCCGTCATTACTGGAGACTGAGAGCGTGTCTTCAAAGAAAGAGGGAGAGAGAGAAAGAGAGAAAAGTGGTGTTTACATGTCTTGCTGGGCCTCAGTATTTTTATTTTATAGAACAGCTGAAAACAACAGGCATGAGTTCATAGCCGTACAGTCATAAAAATAATTAATCAACAACTAATCAATAATCTGCCAGTTAATCAAATGTCAAGAATTCATCAACAACATGGTATCATACATTATAAAGTGTAATTAATAACATAATATAAAAATAATATTCTGTTTGTAAATAAACAAACAATACACATGAATTGCATGTATAAAAGGCCAAGTTGCACCACCATAGAAATTGTGTCCTTTTTTTTTTTAGAGAACAACTTTTCAGAATTATTTTTGCATGGCAAGAAGATTTTTAGTTGAAGTGATATACAGAAAGTTAAATTTCCGAATTTTTAACAATCATATCAACACATCACAGATACTTTTTTTTTTTTTAATTGACAAACTTTCTTTTTGTAAAAGGTTTTGCTTGAAAAAGTGTCCTTGCATTATTATTATTACGGCCATTATTAATATCATGATTTTTGCCATTTGTTTCAATATTTTTTTATATAACACAAAGAGATACAAATATTTTTATATCTGGTTTTAAGTGTGCAAATATTTTTGGGGCCACTGTACAAAGCCATTTCTCAAAACAGAATTATTGCAATATCACTGCAGCACAGTTTACTGTGTTATAATTATATAATAAACGTATTATACACTCTAAAAAAAAGGGTGCTATATCTTAATTCTCAATAAAGAACTTCTGTTTTAGATACTCCAGAAATAAAGTCTAACTGGTTAGTAATGTGTGAAGTTGGTGTTGCTGTTTGTGGAGAGGTCCTTTTTTTCTGAGGTCAAAGGTCTCATGTGGGGGCCCTGGAATATTTCCTTACGGGGGCCTTGGGGGCAAAAAAAATGATATCTTCAAGATATAGACTGTATTTTAATGTTCTTTTAACCCTTTCCCCAACTAAACTAAGAGACTAAGAGAGAGTTAAAGAACCTTTAAAGAACTATACAGGGGCTTACAGGTTTTACGGTAGTGGTGCTATATAGCACCTCATCGACTCCAAAGAACCGCTGAAGAACCATACAGGGGCTTAACATTTTCTTTATACGGTAGTGGTGCTATATAGCACCTCATCGACTCCAAAGAACCGCTGAAGAACCATACAGGGGCTTAACATTTTCTTTATACGGTAGTGGTGCTATATAGCACCTTAACCACTCCAAAGAACCGCTGAAGAACCTTTTTTTTTTAGAGTGTATATAACTAAAATGATATCAAGCATATCTGAAAAGTCAAATCTGACAGATGCTATCTGATGCAAATTATTCTGGGGTTTATTCTGGTGTGTTAGCGTGCTTTTCTCACCACGAGGTGACTCTATAGTGATGCAAATCGCAGCTCTACTTTTCACTTCAGAGAGGTTTTTGTTTTCAGCCCTCTTCAAAACTGAAACTGCAAAACCCTCTTAAAAGACTTTTCTCCGCTCCTAAGAGAATATGTCCTTACATAAAGCTTGCATAAGATATTCTCGTCAGTCTACTGATGTGCAGAAAAAGGCTTCTGATGAACGGTCTTCACGGGAGGAGTGGAAAAATCAAGAGCTAATAAATAGATTTTTATTGACTGTCACTATATAAATATAGTATATAAATCTTTCTTATGTTGTATATATGAATTCTCAGCTGTCTGAGAATGCTCACTCTGGGCAGTATATTGAAGTAGCTGACCCTAGTGTGACCCATCTGTCATAGTTCACACTCGGTGTATTTGCCAACAATACACACACACATAGCTACACCTCCGGTAAACAAACTCCAACAAAGAAATTAACAAAGAGATGAACACATCAATTCCAGCGATGAAATAATATTACTATTGATGTCCGTAAATGAGTCACTTTAAACATATTTAAACTGATTCACAAAGGAATTGAATAAACTCTTACTGTAGCTCATTCTGCCCAAGAACTACACTGTTATATAGTAGGGGAATTTACCATTAACCATTTAACAGGTTTTTACTGTAGCATTTTTACAGTCTTTTACCGTTAAATTCACGGTCATTTTTTAGAGTGTACCCAATCAAGACTGACAAGGAAAGTGACCAATCATAGTTAGTTTTTGTTTTTTATGCATTCTTATGCATTTTCTGGACAGGTTTATCTAAAACAAGCAATATCTGAGTAACAGACAAACAAAATGAACTCTGGTTAACAGCAGAAATGTGTGTTTAGCCACACTGACACAAGGCACACGATTTAACAAGTGTGTGTGTTTTTTGTTACTGTCCTTTTTACAACCTTCATAGCAGGACAGAAACCGTAAATTAGCCAGTTTAACACTTTTTGCAATGTCCACAACAGAATATTTCTGAAATTTCTCTAACTGGAAAAGTTTATGATAACTGAATATGGTTTTTGGGTGTTGTTACTAGATATATCAGTGATGAATGTGGTGTGTGTTTGCAGTAGTGTTACAAATTCATTCCTCCTGCACTGTCGTTAAATTCACACCTGAACAAACCGAGCCTTCAGCGCCACAGAAATGAGCCCTGTGTTGGACACTCTGAACAGTATATGCCCGATTGTCCCCTCATATGAACCTTACAGTAATTTGTACATTACACCAGATATAAATCATATATAAACTGATTTGAAATATTACAAAAAACACTTTCCGTCCCAACCAAGCGGCAACCTCCCGCTCTCTCTCGTGAAGCCAACAAGAAAGTGACTTAAACTGTAATTCGTCATGACGCACTGTCAAGATGGCGACGGCCGCCTCCGCCCACTTTTGAGCTTCAAAAACTCTCTTCGGAACCCTACGGGTGACGTCACGGACACTACGTCCATGTTTTTATACAGTCTATGGTCCCAACTGAGGTAACATTCATTAATTAGGAAGGGGTGTGATATCACATGCTTGAGGTATGACAAAATGATGCTTTCTCATACTTTGAATCTCTCACTTCAAGGCTTCAAGGACTGAGGGGTAATATTTAGAAAGAGTTTAATTTGTTAGAACCTCTAATGTTTTGATGCTTTCGAATAAGCGTAATCATCTATTCTGTTTCACTGAGAGCCTCTTATGTCTGAATTAATAATGAAGACTCGTTCACAAACAGATGCATAGGTTTCACAATATTTTTTTTTTACCTTTATTAGGGGTACAGAGACTTCCCAGACTGTATACAAGCACAGCCCTGACCCAGAACACGTAATCACCAACATAACATCTAAATCAATCAGTCTGTGAACAAAAGCTAAATATAAACACCATTATAAATTCCTATTCCTATGCTATTTCGGTCAATGACAAAACAAACATGTTAACAATAAAAAAAGGAAACATGATTTAAAACATGTGCCAAGTTATATAAATGTACTCGTTGTATTCATTTTGATTTCATAAGGTTAAAAAAAACTTTAATAATATTTTCAAGAAAAGTTTACATTTTAAAAATATTATATGTGTTTTAATTAAGTAAAAGTAATAACCCATTGAAAACATCTGAGTATTGTACATTTTAACAATTATTTTCAAAAACATTTTTACATGTATATTTTTTAAGGAAAAGAATATTTTATTTTATTTTGTTTATTTATTTTATTAAATTCATGAACTATTCAGTCAGTTTTCAGAAAATGTCACAACACATTACAAACTCAACTAATTTTGCCTTGTCACAAAAAGGTCAAACACATTTTAAGAAACTTGTTGTCCTTGACACAAAGTCCGGAGGATCTGTGGTATATTCAAATATTTTATAAATATAAATACATATTTTAATTTAATTATAAAATGCATGATTAACTAGGTAATAATGTGTTCTTAAAAAATAATAACTGTTTTAATAAGAATGATTTTTTATTCATTATTAAATCAGAACAGTTCTATCTACCTGACATTTCTGACTTTATGCCTTATGAGCATATAAAATATCAAAATGAATTTTAATTCAGAAGTAGATCATCATAAAGAACATAAAGAATTGCACTTTTAATGTATGTTTAAATAAATTAATAGATCAAAGTAATGTCATTAATCTATTCACTTTGGCTCTGCAAACATAAAAAGCAGACGGAGACAACTTGTAAATGCTTATGTCACCTCAAAAACAATGCCTGTAGAAAATGTTCACTAAAGTGAAAGTGTAGTAACTAAATTAATATGAATAACATTCTATAGACACCTGAACATCTATAAAATGTCTATAAACACCAAATAGACACAGGAACAAAAGAAAAAGTTCAACTAAATTCTGACCAAGCTTTTTCATTTTTAGATGCCACGAGTAATGAAAATTGCTGATCAATAAATAGAATAAAATTACATCAAATTAAAAAAAAAAAAAAAACTACTTCTCCATGTAGTCTCTGTAGTAGTGCATTAAAAGCACCTCTTGTGAATCTTAATATAAACCCTGAACATGATTTATACATCTGCATATCAACATACCCTATGCTTCATTTCCTAAATACACTGAATCCTCTTAAATAAACAAACCACACTATATTAAGCTGAGTTACGACTACTGTATTCAGTCCTGACAGTGTTGTTGTCCTGTGAGGCACGTACCCAAATCCAGCAGCCAATACTTGCAGTTCTCTGAGCGTCCTGAAGCTGAACCCATGTGACAAAGTGGCCTGACTGATAAAAATGAGTGTATTCCATGTGCCATACCAAGAAGCAATCCGGACAGAGGAGGCAAACTACACCAACTCCTCTAAACTGAAAGGATTTTACCACATAATGCTGAGAGGAGAGTGATGGACTATGAAAGAAAGGGAGGGAGAGAGGAAGGGGGATGGAGAAAGAGGGAGGTTTGGTGTTTCATGCACAGCTGTGACTATGTTATGCTCAGAATGAGAGAGAGGGCGGAAGGGAAAACCGGATGAGAAGACTCAAAGAGAGGAAAGAGGTGTAAGCTACAGTTCTTTAATATGAAAGATGTGATTCTGAAAGAGTCAGAGTTAAAGTCTTCACAAAATTAGTCAGTTTCAGCTTTTGTAGCAGTTTTCTAATTGGCGGAAGCTCACAAAAAATATAAGCAGGTCATATTTAATATATTTTGCTTTTTCATCTTGCCCCCAAATTTTAGTCCAGATTCTCATTATATTTGTTACCCTGGACCACAAAAGATAAGGGTCAATTTTTTTTTTAATTGAGATTTATACATCATCTGAAAGCTGAATAAATAAGCTTTCAATTGATGTATGGGTTCTTAGAATAGGACAGTATTTGGCTGACAGGAAATCACGTTTTTTTTTAATTCCCTCCGGTTTGCAAGACTGAGGTCTCTGATTACAGTTTTACCTGATTTCAGGGAGAAATATGATATGATTCTTGACAGGTTGGCTTTGTAAGATTCACAAACCCCTTTTGAAAATAAGGGCATTACAGATTGTTTATATTCTTTTATGTGAAGATTTCTAAAAATGCCATGTGGATGATGGCATTCAGCAAAACAACATCAGTCAAGCTTTGACCTGTTCGAACATTTTCAGCATTTTTCATTGGGAACACAGTAATAATACATCTCAGCCGTAAATGACAGTTTTAAAGTGTACAGTACGACTGGCAGGCTTGGCTAATATCAGGTCACAGCATGAAAATCAAGTAAACTACACAAACAACTGCCTCTATATCACCTACACAAATGGCTGCCTCTCTTACAGGCTGCACCGGGGCGGATGGCTACAAAGATCTCCCTGTTTAAGTGTCTTTGGCTGCTTAACAGTAGCTGGTCTGTGGCCAGTCGAACTGCTTCCTTTGCTATACACACACACACACACATACGCAGATCCGTAACTGCTTATGCCAGAACTAATCAGCATTCTACTGCTCTGGTCTCATGGTTAGGGCTGGGTATCGTTCATACCCATACTGTGCTGCACATTATTGACAATATTGAGCTGAAGCTTGACTTTGCAAATTTAAAATCGCAAATCAAATCGCAATCGCAATATCTGTCAAAAAAAAAAAAAAATCGCAATTTGATATTTTCCCCCAAATTGCACAGCCCTAGAGCAGACTGCTCCATGCGCTTTCGAATTGCTCTCGCGGATGTCAAACACTGATCGATCTGTGTCGCGCCTCTTATAGTCGAACACACCGGCTAGTGCTGCAGGCTTATTGGCTCACTGACGCTGATGAGATTAACCCCTTAGGTATCGAAATTTGGTACCGAACAACGAGACGTTTTTCGATACTCGATGGTATCGAGGCATTTCGGTCGGTGCCTAAAAAGTATCGAACTCTATACCCAGCCCTACTCATGGTAGCCTAAAAGTTTCAGCCCCTCTGGACATGTTGCAACACAGCAGCTGCCTTAAATATACCTTGAGCGTTTCAGTGAACAAAATAGTCTGGGCAGCAATTTGAAGAGGTTGAATACACTGGCCATCGTGAGTTATGACGGTTCCTATTTCACATTCTATAAATACAGATTGTCCTTGCTGTAAGAGAACCGGCTGTTTGACATTTCCCATGACCTCTGCCAAAGGAAAGGTGCTTGTCTATTTGTAATGATGTCATATAATGGACATAAATGACAGGTAGGTGTCCTTTTAACTCACATATCAACATCATTAGTTTCAATATGACTTTTATATAACTTTACAAGCTTTTCATTGATTATCTCTTTAATAGACAGGCAGACAGACAGACAGATAGATAGATACTTTTTGTGAAACATTTGAGCAGCATTTTCTTACTACATCATGAGGTAAAAGTAAGGCAGTTTCAGGAACTTCCCAGAATTCCCCAAACTGAACACCACACCCTGCACACACTAATGATCTTCTCTCAGATGCTGCCCAGTCATCCTTGTGTGGGTGACCTCAAAAATCTTTGCCTGGTGACCTTCTTAGTTTTACCACATGCTCTTCCTTTGTAATCAAGTCTTTGTCACAAATCATGGTCCATTCAGAGTTTTCAAAAGCAGTGACTAACCACCATGAATTCCATGTTACACATCTTTGATCACGAGGAACTGACGAGCAAATGTAGTTCTAGATATAGTTACTACAGCCTTAAATACATGTTAACAATAAGAAAGCTCCAAAATGAATTATGCTGACTCATCCTATGTCTTCTTCATATGTAAAAATGTATTTCACCACAAAGAGTTCTAGAATATTATTAAAACCTTAAATATTGCATGACATTAAAATGGACCATATGCATTTTTTAATAGAATATCGTAATAGACAAACAACCTTTCCACTGTTTCTGCTGTTCCAATAAAACCAAGGCTACTTGGTTGACCAAACCAAAACAAAACGAAACGAAACGAAACGAAACAATATTTAACAACCAACCATCCACAGTTTAGTCAAATCCCGGCAGACAAAATCAAATCTCGTCTAAATATTTTCCTGCAAATATTCATCTTCTTTTTTAAATAGGTCACATTACAAATGTTACCCATGCTCTAAAAAGATTTTGTTATTATACATAATATGATAATAAATTACATAAAATATACTACATTATATTACAATAAATTTATTTAATTTTTTATTAAAATTATTTGAAAATGAATACATTACAAACTGCAATATTGTGAAATAATATTACAATCTAATATATATATATATATATATATATATATATATTTCTATTTTAATATAATAATAAGGATTTTCTGATGAATATGAAGTTTATAAGAACAGCATTTATTTTAAATAGATTTTCTTTTTCATTTCAAATACATTTAATTGTCTTTACTATCTCTTTTGATCACATTTATGTGACCTTGCTGAATAAAAGTACTAATTTCTTTGAAAAAGAAATACTGACCCCAAACTTATGTATTATTGTTTACAAAATGGCTGGTTTTAATTGCATGACCAAAATCACAAGATCACATGAACTGTCCTGTGTACATGGATATAATCCTAGCAGGGAAATCCCCAGCAGCCTGTGTTCATCACCTGACACAGCCCATCACCATGGATACTGCATGCTCAACACACTTCAACCCTAACAAGAAAGAGCAAAGCTGGACTGCAATTAAAATTGTATTTGGGTTCAGGGTGAGTCAAGAGCAGACACACACCTGTACACAGCTTTGATCCATTCCTCCTGAGAGAAAACACACCATATCTGGCACCCATATTAGGATAATCCGATTTAATTTTGGTTTGTATATTTCATGCTTAAGCTTGCACACAGCTAGAAATCGGTATCTATAATTATTGTAATTAAACATCAATCCTCAAAATATTCAATAAAAATCTAATTATTTTAAAATGCTACCAAAACAGATTCATTATGAGATTCCTATCGAGTCAAAGGTGGTTACTTAACAACTCTTACACAAAGGACCAGCTGGAAACCCCAGACGCGCATGTTGACGTGTCTTTGAGTAATCCCTCAAGCATTTACACAAAAGCTCTTCCCATCACTGGAGAAGAACATCAAACACTATTCCAGATTCTCAGGACCTCACAAACTCATACAAGTAGTGCAGCCTCTGTGAAGTGTAAACCTAAATAAACGCCATTCAAAATCCTGAAGCCATCTTGATCTAACCCCATAACAAGGAAGGGCCAGCATGAACATCCAAAAAAAAATAAAATCCAGAACTTTTAAGTAAATTCAGTCCAATCGAATCTAACCCAGGAAAGCTGTCCATCTTACCTTTATGGTTGAAAATGCCCTCCATCTCCATGCTACTTCGGGAATGGGCGATGCAAAGCATAGAGCTGGGAACCAGGCCCTCCTGGGCAGGTGAACGGTCAGTGGTGCGAACCAGACACCAGTCGGGCTTGTCCTGGGGCCTTTCTACAAGCTCCACCGTCTGACCTCTGCGTACAGTCAACTCCGATCCATTACTGGCCATGAAGTCGTGGATGACCACCGTCAACTCTGAACCACCGGACAACTGTGGAGGAAGGCATAGGGTCACATTACAAATTCAAATATATGTGATAAAGACAACAAACGTGAAAAAAAAGAGGCATAACGAACGTACCCACTGGTAATGTGGCATTGCCAATGAGCTCAAAAGGTGAGCAACTGACCCCGAACCTTTACACGCCATGTTTCTACCAAAACAACACCCCCTAGTATGTCCTTATGCAGGAAACATCACACAGAAGAATGGTCTAATGGTCAAAAAAACCCATTTCCGACAATGCCATATCCTTCGATCTGGAAGACAGAGCGCTGAATAACCATGTCTTATCAAAACGAATCTCATCTACAGTTTACGCTCAAGCATTCAGAACTCCTGTGAGGTAAAGTGGCAGGCGGTTGAAGGCTGCTGACACATCCTCGCAATTGCCACGGAGATGGAATCAGTCTGAAGGAGTGACACCGGGCAGAAGGAAGGGAGAGGAGGCAGAGACGGACACAATGTGCCAAGATTTAAAGGAGCAGGAGGCAAATTAATGCTCATTAGAAGTGACGTGCAGGAACTCGTCCGCTTCTGAGAGCTTCACCTTTTCACCTCACCGTGAACTGAGAGGGCTCTGTGTGTCTAAAACAGTGAGCTTTTGTGCGGGGTCATCAGGGTACACGAGTGAATTTAGTGACTCTTGACGTGTTTGTGTATGTCACAAAGAGACGGGGAAGGGACCGACATGGAAGAGAAGACAGAGAAGGACTAAGATGTCCAAGTTTGTTTAGAACGGACAGTATCAGCAAGTAACGTGTGTTGCTGTAGGAGGCTTGCAATACATATCGGTGACAAAAACGCACATGTGTGAAGGCGTGTGAGAGGAGAGCGCTGACTGTGAGTGGGAAGACAAGCGTCTGTGCTGTTAAATCCAAAGCAACCGAAGCAACAGACGTTCCCCAGTGAGGAGCATTCATTAATGTTGGAACTTCTTGCATGGCTGATTTCATATTCAATTAGGAGAAAATGTTTCCCTAAAATGTTTGTATGCATAAAAACTTCTCCTAAACATCCTAAAACATTCTAAATGAGAGACTATAAAGAATTTTACTACGTTATTTACTAATTTTTAACATTCATCCATATGTGACCCTGGACCACAAAACCAGCCATAAGCGTCTGAATAAATAATCTGAATAAATAAGCTTTCCATTGATGTATGGTTTGTTAGGACAGGACAATATTTGGCCGAGATACAACTATTTGAATATCTGGAATCTGAAGGTGCAAAAAAGCAATTCTTAGCAATGCATATTACTAATCAAAAATTAAGTTTTGATATATTCACGGTAGGAAATTTACAAAATATCTTCATGGAACATGATCTTTACTTAATATCCAAATGATTTTTGGCATAAAAGAAAAATCCATAATTTTGACCCATACGATATATTGTTGGCTATTGCTACAAATATACCCGTGCTACTTATGACTGGTTTTGTGGTCCAGGGTCACATATAATAATTTCATAAAAATGCTTGCTTTGCACTTAAAAAGCTATTTTGTTTTAAATGTTTCATTAATTTGAGCATTTTTATGACACTAATTGCCTTGCTACTTATAGCTGAACTTAATAATTGATGAACAGCATTGACACTATTGAACTAAATAACCTTGAACTAAATTGAGCTGAATACTATTGTCTGGCGCTATTGTCTTCTGTAGAGCTGCTTTACAGCTGAAATTTAAGTTGTTTCATCATTTTTTAATTTTAAAACATTACCACCGATACCACTGTCTGTATTGTATAAAGTGTAATATGAATAAATGTCACTTGACAGACAACTTGACAACAAAATGTCCCCAATAATGCTGTGATTACCTTGTGATTATTTTTTTTATGGGCGGGAACAAGATTCTGTTCTTTAAATCTTTGGTAACCATGAAGTACTTCAAATGAATGCTCATCCATCTGATATGAAATGTCTATTATGGAATATAGCTTCAAGCAGCAATAATGGGGCCAACCACACAGATGGCACAAACATGGCATGTAAAGTTGTTTAGTCATAGAATTCTCACCAGTGATTGTAGGATATGCAGTTTAAAGGTTATAAGTATTTCTAGAAGTACTTGTTACTTTTCACCACAAGGTGACACAGTCATAAAATTGGTAAGGTTTTGGCAGGATATTGTGGTAAATATAACTGCAAAATTTTGTGCCAGTATGAAAAAAGGTTGCAGATATATAGTACTTCAAGTTAGTCACTAGCACAATCATAGTTTTGAACATCAGAAATCCATTTACTGAATCAGAACCAGTTTTGGTGAAGATTAAATAAACGTTATAGGCATTGCAAATGTCCATAGTGCTCCATGAGCACTAAATAAAAGAATAATAAAAGAGATAGTTTACCCCCCAAAATTAATGGAAATTTTGTCATTTACTTATCCCCATGTGGTTCCAGACCCAAGATTTCCTTTCATCTTCAGAACACAAATTAACGCAGCTTTTAATATTCTCTTATAATTTTTGTCCATCCATTGAAAGTGCACACGAACAAAATGTTAATGCTTCAAAAGACATTGTAAAAGTAATCCATGTGAATCGAGCAGTTTAAACTTCCTTGCACATACATAGAGCTCATCAAATATGGTAAACACAGATATTACTTGACACGTGAGAATAGATGGACAAAAGTGATGAAAAATATTAAAAATATCTTCATTTGTGTTACGAAGATGAATGGGAAGTCTTATGGGTTTAGAATGACATTATGGCAGAATTTTCATTTTTGGGTGAACTATCCCTTTAAGAACTTGATTTCAGTATTACAAGTTTCATTACAGTGGTCTTTCAATGTGATGGCACAAAGGTTTTTTAACCACAACAGCGTATTAAATATTGAGTATTGAAATAAATAAATACATTTTTGCTTTTAGCGTGAGGCTAAAACATTCAGTACAGACATGAACTAATTTGCCCAGAACTGAACACCGTGTGTAGCATGGCACTTTTAGACTAAGGTCGACAGATTTTCACACTCACCTTGTCGCTATCCAGTGTATTCTGGGAGGTGCGGGAGGCGATGGAGATGGTGTCTGGCTGACTGCTTGCATCACCCTGACTGTCTAGGTCCTCTCCATCCCTGTTATTCAACAAAATATATATCATTCAAAAGTGCAAACTGACCAAGGAAAAGTAGACAGTCGATGTCAGAGACAAGATACTGATATGCATAAAACTTGTTTCTTCTGTGTTAACATATTCTGAGATCCAGAGATTCATACTTGCTTATTGATTTGGACTGATGTGAGTTGTTAACGTACCGCTTGCCCTTGTGTTTGGCTGCAGTGGCTTTGGGAATGTGGATTGGCTCTTTGAGTGCCCCCCGTAAATGGATGGTACGCTCCTGGATAACTTCACGAACATGTTTAATCCAATCCTGTTTGTTTTCAATACATGAAGCCTGGGGATGCATTGAACACAACAAAACATTAATCAACCTCAATTTACACAACAGACATAAATATCAATTGAACTTGTCAAAGCCTACAGATCTGTTGCAAAAATAATGACAACATGCAATCAGAGTTCAAATGAAGTCAAAAACTGTTTACCTACTTAATGTGTTCCTGGTCTTATTATGCACACAAAAAAAAGCTTTTCTAATCTTTTAACAAAATATAATAAATTGCTCTGCTTCTTAATGTACTTTCTTTAAGGTCCCAGCCTCCAACCACATGTCAATGAAACTCTATCAATGATTCAATCAATTCTCAAAGGATGAAATCAATTTCCATCCTACTTTTCACTTGGAAATTCTTCAGATTACAGAAATAAAATAGGTGGAAACAATGTTTAATAACTGTAAGCAGGCTAAAATTGTGAACATGGGTGCAGAGCTCACAAAATCGCTAGCCCGACGTCCCGGGGCTATTATGTTTTCCAGTCAGGCTACCAAAATGTATCACGACTGTGCCCGACGGGCTATCTTAAATGCAGATCTCCTGCGGGTCCTTAAAAACTCCTAAAGTGAGTTGTATCAAACTTAAGGCCATAAAAAGTTTTAAATACGTTAAATGGTATAAGAAATGTCAATTATAATTTCAAGAGGTCTTACAGTTGGGGACGGAAAGAAAAGCGTCGCGATACGGCTGGATTAAACTTCAAAAGGCAATGATGTCCTCGAATAAATATGAGCGCTGCACGCGTCAAGTCAAAATGCGGCGCGGATTTCTTTATTTGAATGGATCTGAAGGTAACCGACCCTGTTGAAAAAACCAGCATATGCTGGTCAGGTATGTTTTGACGCTGGGATGCTGGTTTAAACTGGTCCTTTGCTAAAGCAGCGTTTATGAGCTCGGAGCTGCTTTGTGTACAGTCGTTACCGGGGAAACCGCAATATTTCAGTGCTCCTAAAGCGCCACCTCGTGGCAGAGAATGAATTTGCATTTTCAATAAGCCTTTCTTGCTGTTTATGGTCAGATCAATGCAAATATCAACTCATGTTTTACACAGCAAACACAGAGTTGTAAATGAGAAAGAAGTTAATGTGCCTTCTAAAAATCTAAACAATTAAGACAGTAATATTTATACGTTTTAAATTGACAATAATTTACATGCTTGATTTATCCCTTTTCATAAAAATGGTCTAAAGGCTGAAATGCTGTTGTATAAGATTTTTGTTTTTGTGAAAACCTGTATCTGAACTGTAAATCATGTAATTTTATGGCTCAATACTCTATGTTACCATAGACATTGTCCAACCACACTCATACTGTGTTCATTTTACATGTGCAGCTCTTAAAACGGGTCATACATTTCCTTAAATTTATTAAAAAAAATCTGCAGATACCCTGTAAATAGTGAAATAAAATTCCTTCCTTCATATTTGTTGATATTTGTGTATTGACAATATTTTTTGATTGACATTTAAACTCCTATCTGATTTTCTATATTTAAAAAAAAGTTTTTTTTTTTATTTGGGCTAGTTAAATTAATTTTCGGGCTACCAAAATCTGAAGAGTACCTGCCCGAAGGGCTACCAGGGATTTTGAAATTTTGCGAGCCCTGAAGTGCATCCATTTTGCATCCATGTGTCTGTCTATTTACATGTGAGAACATATAGAATGGCATATGAGTCATTACATGATTCAATTACGTCTTCAGAGATGAAGGGCAACCATTCAGAAACACAAGTTACATACGTTTTTTTTTTTAAATGCTTACAAGTCTCACAAAATGATTTTATACAATGGAATGACTCAAGCCAGAGCTACAACACTTGAAAATTCAAAACCTGAAAACATATCCACTCATGTGATCTATTTCAAGGATCCTCAGATGAATGAGATATAAAGTATATTTTTTATTTTATAACAAAGTCTAATGTAAAAATCCATTTAATTTGAGATCAGGGGCAACTTTTCAGTAATGAAACATGCTTGTGTGCTGTGCCAGTTAGCAATGTTTGGATAAAAAATAAACTTGAAAGCAAAGAAAACATTTAAGTGACAGCTGTACTGAAAAAAAAAAAATAAACATTGGATGAAGTATCAATTTGGAACGTGAATCATACCTTCAGCACTATTTTGTTGTCTGAGGTAGGTGTCCGTCCAACCCAGAGTGCAAATTTACATGGATCTCCTTCCACATGTTCAGTAACTCCTAGTTCTGAGGTCTAGGCAGAGTAAAAAAGCATAGATCAAACATGAAATAATTCAGTCTATTATAAATTATGGCCATCCGTAACCCGATAAGCAAGCATTTCTTTATTTAAACGAAACAAATTGAAAGTAAAACCAGTACCATGAGTTTGCTCTTGTAGAGGTACTTGCTCCTTCCGTTGGAGTCTTTGACGTCCTTGCTGAAGATGAGAGACATCTCAAAAAGGAAGAGGTGCCGCTCTCTGCCCTTACGAATCAGAGTCTTTGGATCCCAAACCTGGAATGACTCCTGCAGAATCAACTCACCCTGAGACTCAATGTTCTCATCAAAACCTGAGAGTGAGAGAGAGCAAAAAGGAAAGAGAGGTTGAACAAAGATAAAAGATTAAAGAAGAAGGATTGGGTTTGGTTTAGGAAGCTGTGTCTGTGTGTGTATGTTTGTTACTCACCCTCCAGCAGGCTGAGGTGCATAGCATCATTAGCTTTTTTGGGCACACTAAGCATAACCTCCAGGCCATCTTTAATTTCTCCTTTACCCTCCTCACAACATGTCAATAGTTCCTATAAATAAACATAACAATTGCACTTTTACATTTGAAGATATACATTGAAGATTTTGTGCTTTAATTTTGATTTTGTAATACCATATTAAACCTTAATTATTTTAATTACCTTTTGGACCCACATTTTGGTTTGGGTAAGGTGTCTACTTTGGATTTTTTGTTGTCTGTTGTGAATTTGTGTCTGACCATTGTAGTTCTGTGCTTTGTTCATGTTGGGTCTTTGCTGGGTCTGTGATGGTTCTGTGTTTAATCTGTGTCAGGTTTGTGACAGTTCAATGTTTGGTCTGTTCTGGGTTTGTGATGTTTTAATGTTTAGTCTGTGATGGTTTGTGATGGTTTTGTGTTAACTTGGTTTGTTATGGTTCAATGATTAGTCTGTGTTAGCTTATGCTGTGTTTGCGATGGTTCTATGTTAGGTTCGTGCTGGGTTTGTGATAGGTCTAGTTTTAGTCTGTGCTGGGTCTATGTTTAGTCTGTTGGATTTGTGATATTTCTAGGTTTAGTCTGTGCGGGTCTGTGATACGTCTAGGTTTAGTCTGTGCAGGGTGCATGATAGTTCTAGGTTTAGTCTGTGTTGGGTTTGTGATAGTTCTAGGTTTAGTCTGTGCTGGGTCTGTGTTTAGTCTGTGTTGGGTTTGTGATAGTTGTAGGTTTAGTCTGTGTGGAGTCTGTGATAGTTCTAGGTTTAGTCTGGGTGGGGTCTATGTTTAGTCTGTGTTGGGTTTGTGATAGTTTTAGGCTTAGTCTGTTTGGGGTCTGTGTTTAGTCTGTGCTGGGTTTGTGATAGTTTTAGGTTTAGTCTGGCTGGGTCTGTGTTTAGTCTGTGTTGGGTTTGTGATAGTTCTAGGTTTACTCTGTGCTGGGTCTGTGTTTAATCTGTGTTGGGTTTGTGATAGTTCTTGGTTTAGCCTGTGCTGGGTCTGTGTTTAATCTGTGTTGGGTTTGTGATAGTTCTTGGTTTAGCCTGTGCTGGGTCTGTGTTTAATCTGTGTTGGGTTTGTGATAGTTCTATGTTTAGTCTGTGCTGGGTCTATGTTTAGTCTGTGTTGGGTTTGTGATAGTTTTAGGTTTAGTCTGAGCTGGGGCTGTGTTTAGTCTGTGTTGGGTTTGTGATAGTTCTAGGTTTACTCTGTGCTGGGTCTGTGTTTAGTCTGTGTTGGGTTTGTGATAGTTCTAGGTTTACTCTGTGCTGGGTCTGTGTTTAATCTGTGTTGGGTTTGTGATAGTTCTTGGTTTAGTCTGTGCTGGGTCTGTGTTTAGTCTGTGTTGGGTTTGTGATAGTTCTTGGTTTAGTCTGTGCTGGGTCTGTGTTGGGTTTGTGATAGTTCTTGGTTTAGCCTGTGCTGAGTCTGTGTTTAATCTGTGTTGGGTTTGTGATAGTTTTAGGTTTAGTCTGAGCTGGGTCTGTGTTTAGTCTGTGTTGGGTTTGTGATAGCTCTAGGTTTAGTCTGTGTGGGGTCTGTGTTGGGTTTGTGATAGTTCTTGGTTTAGTCTGTGCTGGGTCTGTGTTTAGTCTGTGTTGGGTTTGTGATAGTTCTTGGTTTAGTCTGTGTTGGGTTTGTGATAGTTCTTGGTTTAGTCTGTGCAGGTTTTGTAGTAGGTTTGTGCTTAGTTTGTGCTTGTACTGTGAAGGATCCGTATTTAGTCTGTGCTGGCTTTGGGTAAGGTCTGTACTGTAGTTACTGTGCTGAGTTTGTGTTGGCTCAGTGCTGGGTTTGTGTTGTGTATGTTTAGTTTGTATCTGGTCTTTTTAAGTCTGTGCTAAAATCTGATTATTGCATGGTTTTTGTATAATGAAGAATCTGAACTGTTTATTTAATGCATTGAAGTACACATACCTTCAGCAGAAGCTGATACTTGGTGATCCTCTGAACTGGTTTAATAAGGTATGATGAGATGGAATTAGCCAGCCTGTGTCTCTGTTGGATTTCCTGTACACATACAGTAAAGCACACTTAAGTCGTTTACTCGAAACAAAAAATATCTTTCACACAAACACCTTAAACACGTGCTGTAAAAAAACCAGCAACCATTTATCTTTAGCTTTGTAATTCTTAATAGCTTCTTGATAGCAATTTTGCAAAAGCGGATCTCAAGGCTACAGTCATTCATCAGTGCTCAGCCCTGAAAGAAGAGTCCGTCTGTTCTGATCGCCTGGCAACAGTTTAATAGTGAGGCATCACTGGTCCCCCACCCACACCCAGACACACAGGAAGTGCCCTCTCTCTAAGACCTCCACCTACCAGCTCAAGAACAGAACTGATTTACAGACCACAGGAGCCACACACACACACATACTAATACTACCACAAATACACAATGTCACATACATATTCATATAAACACCCACATTCTCTGTTAAATACACACAAAAACTGTTACATAATCTGAATAAATAAATGGAACTTCCTTGATTAAAGTGTGTAAAAGGAATACTGTATGTCCTTACACACAATCAAATTAATGTTATGATTAGTTTGCTTAATACTCACATCAAAATAGGTCCCCGCATGTTCCAGAATCAGCTGAGTGGAGTCAGGCTTGTTCTTACAGTAATTCACATACATCTGAAACTTATCAGCCTAAAAATAAAACATACATACAAAATAAGCAAAATATTTTTAAAATTTTGAACATGAAGATGCTGTTTTCAACTCTAATAACTGGTGTCTCTTTTAGATTGATAAGCTGTTATTATTATTAAATAAACACTGATTTAAGAGATACTTCATAAATAGTGTAATATAGCTGTAATTGTTTTAAATATGTGCTCAATCATTACTTTCTATTAACAGGAAACTTATTTGATAAAAAATACAGTAAAAACTATTTAATGGTGGCAAAGCTGAATTTTCAGCCTTCAGTGTCACATGATCCTTCAAAAATATCATTCAAATGCTGATTTGTTGCTCAAGTAATATTTAGTTTTATCATTACAGTTATACAATATTTTTGTGGAAACTGATAAACATTTTCTTTAGGATTCTTTGATGAATAGAAAGTACAAAGAATAACATTTAATTCCCAAACGTTTGACTTACTACAATAACAAGGTGCTAACCCTGAACCTAAAACTAAACCCATTTAAGGGTCTAAAAAGTTAGGGGTGGAACGGTTCGCGGAAAAAAATCGAACCGTATGGTTCTCCACACACGGTTCGGCACACGCTAGGACCGCGGTTCAACTTAAATCTGACAACGCATTTGTAATATTGTTTGCTATAAATAACACGTAAGACAAACAGGGTTCGGCTAATATATGTTTCTGTTGATGGATGCGCATTCTGGCTTCCCAATACATTACAACAACAGCGATTAAAAAAAAAAAAAAGGTGGACAAACCATTCGCTCTTGTTCAATGCGAATGCCATATGCTGGAATATGAGCAGTCATTTATTCCGTCATCACCCGGGTGCTGATAGCGCGCGTGCACAGGGGAGACCTGAACAGCACACGTTGATATCTGTGTTTAAATTAAACTCGTTTAAGCTTTGCCAGTTTAAACATTTAAGAACCAGAGGATGCGAGCTTGCGCGCAGTGAGAAGATTTGTGCATGCGCTCATTCGAAGCGCGAAAACCTGCGCCTCAGAACAGGCGCAAATATTAAAGGGGTCATATGATGCTTTTTTTAAAGATCATTATTTGGTGTATTTGGTGTAACAGAATATGTTGACATGCTTTAATGTTCAAAAAACACATTCTTTTTCAAATACTGTACATTATTGTAGGTCCCAGGCACGTGCACAGTAGGGCTCAACCTGTGCAGAGCACATGCCCTTTTTGCCCTTAAACTCCGAAGTGCCCTTTTTTTGGTGATGGTGTTTTTTTTCCCTTCAATAAATCAATGATATTGGTCACCCTTTACATCTGTCTGTCTGCTTTACAAATATTTAGCTAATGAAAGGTATTAAAAAGAGCTTGTGACTAAATCTTGTTGGATCCGCTCAAACTGTCAGTAAACCTCATAACTCCACCCCCTCTATCTTGACTGAATGAACTGAAGTTCCACAGCAGCTGAACTAGGTCTGCAAGGGTAAATAAAGATCTTGTTGTTTGAATAAGTACAGCGTTTTCCTTACGCAAGAAACACTATGTCTATAAAGGCTCATAATTTATGTATTTGAAACTGAGCGC